TGATAAGGAGAAAAATCTAAGTCTTTACACTTTATATGTGGTATTCCTTCCAGCTGACAGAAAAATAGAAACATGACTGAAAGCTGGAAAGGGCAAAGTCATCCCAAATACTCGAGGGGGTGTGTGTGCGTGTGTAATTTTAGTAAACATTTGTTTTAGTAAAACCAGAGGTGGAATAGCATATACTCAGTGTGCAGTTAGGTGAGCCTTGGTGCTTTGAAGGGTGAGGATCTGAAGTATTTACCTACTGGGTGTAATATTTGCTCTTTGTTTGGATGTTTCAGAATGGCTCAATACATACACTGACAACCCATTGTTCTGCAAATACAGAACACACAGATTATCCTTGGTTGGATAAATGATCGATTTACTTCTAAGAACAACATTAGATTCTTAATGGGGATGACAGTACAAATCTTAACATAGGCCATTATAAAATAAAGTACTTGGAATGAACGCTTCCTCCTCACTTCAAAACAGACTGGAAGAAAGCTTGTACAGTTCAATGACTTTCTAGTCAGCATAGCAGGATGAATTACCTCTGCTATTACTGACAGAGCTTTGTCTATTTTGTATTTAAAAGCTCCGTTGATGAGGCTTCCACAGCTTGCTTAGATGACCTACTGCAGTTTTTCAGCTACCTTACAAGGATTTTCCTAACACATAACCCAAATCTCCCACACTGTAACTTGAACTTCTTATCTTAATCATCCTGGACAGGGAGTCCTCTCTGTTTTCCCACACGTTTTTATGTCTCTGAAAATTTTAGATTATTTCCCAAAGGATCCTGTTTCTTTGAAATCTTGCTTCTTTACTCAAGGCCCTGGGAAAACAGAAGTTAAGGTATAGGGCTCATACAGATTTCTAGATCCCTTTTTTACTAAGGAACATGTCCTACTGTTCAATGTTTTCACTACAGAAGCCAAGGACTCAGGGCAGGAAAGAGAGTGGCAGATCCCCACCTCTGGAGTTAGATTCCAAAAAGCAGTACCAAGACCAGGAAGCAGTGTTGGGTTTATGGTTGGACCCAATGGTCTTAAGGACCATTTCTGACCTAATCAGTTCTAAGCAGAGTCTGCAGAGATGCACACATCACCCTGTCTGTGTTTTGCCTAGCAGGTAGATAGCTGGAGGTTCAGCTCCTATTGCTGTCAAGGAAAGGATAGCTCATTTGCTGTTGAACAGCCTTGACTACAACCTTTTGCCACTTTCTATCTGGAAACAGGAATGCTTAACCTATGTCTAATGTACGATGTAAGCAGATAAGAGTAAGGCTTTGGGAATATGACAGATATCACCAAGAAAACCTCATACATCTCCTCCAAGTGAGAGCTCACCTTACAAGGTATGTTTGCAGACTTCTACATTTGACTCATAAATACTTAGAATTAAACCCTGATTTCACTGGTGAGATTTTTACCAATGACTTAATAACAGTTATATTTCATGCTGCAGGGATATGAATAACAGAGGGAGTTAAACTTTTAAAATGGTATTTTTGACTGTTTCGAAAGATCTCCATATATATCACACTGTCCTTAGTGTACTATCCTGACAGTATATATGGAGAAGACCCTCCACAATACTTTAAAAACAACAGCTTGAAACATCTAAATATTATCATCAGTGACAGTAACAGATCTGTTTTGTAACAGCTTTAACAGCACTCAGATAATTCATGGAAGAGCTAAATCCTCCGTCATAAAATTCCAACATGAAATCGGTTCAAGATTTAACAACTGCTATACCTTAGTCATTCACTTTGTTATTAGTTTTCCAATATTTTTTTCCTTATCTACATTACCCTCTATTATTTAGTTATAACTTCCTCCATAATTGCAATCAATGAATAGTAATCACTTAATAAACATATCCTGACAGGTCTATTTTTGCACTGGGAGAAGATTCATTTTCTTTATCATCACTCCTATAAGCAATCTTTCTTCTTACCTGAAGTAGCAAAGTGAAATGCAGTGCCTGGTGTAGAGTTCTGCTCTGCTGCATACAGCATCTGAGCAAGAGCAGACACCACTCCTTGCATTTTTCAACTATTTGGATAGAGATTTATCCAAATCTGTGTAACTTGGAATTTGCGTTCTCTGATTCTTACATGTAATTCTGTCGGTGCACACAGGTAAAAGCTGCTTTGCCCAAACAGCTGATAGTGGCATTCAGGGAGACTTCTCACAGAGTTTTTCCTAAAATGCAGGTAATGCAGAGAAAAACTGCATTTTTGTTACATATTTTGAGCTTAGTTGCTCAACACTGACACACTAAAGAGCGTGCAAGCTGTCACCTCTCTATACAAAGGCCCAATTTGATATTAAATAGAGTAAAATATCCATAGTGAAGTTGGATATCTGCAGGTCACTGATTCTTTTCCACTTACTTCTGAATATAGCATGTGAAACTGGTAAAGAAACACAAAGAAAAGAAAATGTATTTTGGATTTGTATATAGAAACCTGTTTTTTTCTTCACAAATTAGATGCACTTCTTTTCAGTGGGCTTGGCCCGAAGCCACTGGAATCAAAGCAAGTTTTTCTACTGACTTCAAGAGATTTCAGATTTGCATTTTTCAATGTTATCTTCTTAGGTGGACACTCCTCAGTGAGTCATTCTCACATTAAATGGTCTGTCAACCTTTCAGTTGAAAGCAAAACCACCAGGGGAAAACTCCACATTAAAATGAGTTTCTGTAAACTTTAAGCCCCTTTTAGTTCTTCACACTAACATTTAAAACATTTTGAGCAACTCATCCTTGCTCAAAAGTACTGATTCACTCTAAAGACAAATTTTTCAGTGGCATCTCCTAGCATTTTTGTACAATTACTGACCAAAATTAGTTTTACCAGCCTTATCCTCCAAACTCTCTCTGTGTTTCAGCCCCATGTAACACGAACTGATGGGATCAAACTGAGCTGTCCCTCTGAACTGAACTCCATTCCTGGCATCATGCTCTGTGCTTCTGTGAATGGCCTCACAAGCAGGCCTCATGAGATGAGCATATGGAAATTCCTACTAATACAGGCCTGTCAAAAGAATATCTGTCTGTCTGCAGGCAACTTCTGACTGCATAAACCTTATATACAGTATCTAGAAGGGCAAACCATACTTTTTTGCCATATCATTGCCACAGGCAGACCCACATTCAGTTTCAAGGAAATCTTTCTAACCCATGTCAAATAAAAAAAGGCTATGTATATTTTAACCACTTTAGCAGCATTGCCCTTCCTATGAGAAGGAGAATTGATTATATATACCAAGAATAGGGAAAATATTTTTTTCACAGCTCTAAAATTAGACTAAAAATCTCACTTTAGAGTTCACTAGTTCAGCTTGTAATTTTCAGCATTCTTTCAAGGTACCAGTACAAGAACACTTTTTGTGTGCACAGTAATGAAGACTTTAAATGTACTAATTACTTCTAAACATAGGCATATTACTAGAAGATTATAAATCAAAACAAATCTTGTGCAAAGCAGCAACTTTTAAAATAAGCAATTATTACACAACTTAATGCAAAGAAAATTTATATTCTTGGCATTTTGTGAGTATCTGGGAAGCACTTAGCATGAAAACAAAATGCCTGGATTAATCTAGCAGAGGTATGTTGATATGATGGAAGTCAGAAAGCAATTGTGAAAAAACACTCTGCGTCTCTGCTGGCCACAAAGTGTTCAGTTATAAAAGCTTTGATTTAAAGCATATTAGCATAGTGTGGTGGAAGCATGCAGCACCACAACATCAAAGGATATGCCCCCAAATGATGTATACTTTATTTTTAATTCTCCCAATAAGAGTATACTTTTAGTTTCCAGCTTGAATTTATCAGAAATGGTTTGTATATCCAAGAAAACAGAGGGGAATGACAAAGAAAAACAGTTTGAGGGATGCAGGAATCTCACCATACTTTTAAGTAAAGAAATAACAATTCACTTGTAATAGGACTGTCCCATTAGGGTCCCTGATTGCCATGAAAATCTCAATTGACCTATTCCTTTGTTAAACTTACTGCTTTAAGATAGTTAAAACTATATGACCTTGTCTTTGGAGTCATTCGGGTTTTTTTAAGGTATACCTCACAGTCCTCCAAAAATTCCTTGGAGAAAAATACACTTGCCTGAATCTCACATTGTCTCAGTACTCAGATACTTCTGTTCTAGTTAATTTTGCTCAGACTTCTCAGAGGAGAAGTGATCACTCAGAATTTCCCATTTTTGATTACAGCATAGGGAAAATAACAATATTCTCCTTTGTTTTCAGTAACTTTACAAAATTATCCACACACACTACCTGACTGCTTCTAGAGGCAAAATGAAGAACTTCATTTAGGACCAATTTATTCCTTTTCAGAATAGAACTTCAGGCACGGTAATTGAGAGGATAGAACATCATTGCTTTGTGTAAGTATTACCTTTTTGAACTTCCCAGGCTGACACATCACAGCCGAGCTGCAGTCGTGTTAGTCATGGCACTCTGTGTGAGGCCAGTGCTGTACTGAGCAGCATGCTATTAGGAAAGGGTACAGCAGCATGCTGTCCTACCGACAGGCCCTCTCATGCTGGGACTGTCTATATGCAAACACCATGCCCACTGCCACAGCACAGCACAGGAGAAGGCGAGGGAGCTATTTCTATTACACCAGGAACACTGATTCTTCCCAAAGTTGACCCCTGCTCTGTGTGGTGATGGTGGTGATGTGTTTCAAATGTGATGTATAATAGCAGGAGGGCACTGATGCATCAGACCAGGAAATTAAAAAAGATGCCATTCACACAAAGGAATGTTTAGTTAAGTTTGAAAATCTTGGCCCAGATGATACCGTGATGGACCATTTGTTACATCTTTACTTACTAACATTCATTTGCTGTGGAATTTGGTGTTGGGGTTTTTTCTCTGCAAATCAATTTGTTACTGATTTTGAAAGATTTCAAGAGCTCTCTGCATTTCACCCAACACATTTTGAGTCAGAGATAATATTTGAAAGCACTAGGGTCCTTAAAGGAACAGCCTATTACAATACACAACAGTAACTATGTCTCTACAATTTATGAAAAGAAAGCAATATGTGCCTGTTTCGGTGCCTGTCGTTTGCCTACCAATGGTGCAGTGTTCCCCATTCCAGCCCTCTCTGCATTCACATTTCCCATCTTTACAAGTTCCGTGCTCCGTACAACGGGGATGACACACACGCTGGTCACACGCCTCTCCTGTCCACCCTTCTTCACAGCGACATGCTCCGCCAATGCACACCCCATGGGTGCCGCAGTCCACGGAGCACACTTCTAGGGGAAGAAAAGAATAAAGGTTACAGCCAGCTTATATCATGGTAATGGGGCAGAAGCAGCAACCTAGTCAAGAAGGGAATAAGGAGCAGGACAGGTATGCTTTTGCTGAAAACCATATGCTGTCAAAAGCTGGCCTGTTCATATTCTGATTAAAACCGACATTTAACTTCTACTTAAAACCAAACTAAATGATATTAAGAAGTTGTTGCTGGACAGACTGCTGTAAAGCTGCGTCCTCCATTCAGATGCAAACCTGTTCCAGAGGTAGCTTCCTCAACACCTGCAGCAGTGAAGGAAGGGAGAACGTAGCTCTGTTTTACCCAAACCTGGACCTCTGGTGATTTTGATATAGACATTGATTTGCGAAGAATGAGACTGAAACTCACCTAAAACTCCCTCAGCAGAGAATAGTGACAATTCAGGATCACTTGGACTCTAGGAGTGACTGGTAAGACACTTTCAAGGAAGAGATTTTTTGAAACCTATTGCTAACATGGCCAGTTATCCAGTGCCTCACTCCAAAAATTCTTTTACTGCTCTCTGCCAGCTGAAGTTGTAGAAAAGTAGAGGGATCTTTTGCCTCATGCATCATCAAAGACACTGAGAGTGAAACTCCCATTCATGAATTTTTCTGGCTGCTGATGCACGAAGCAGAAAAAACACATCTTGATATTCACTTCACTGCTGGGGTATTCTAAGTAATTAATCTTAAGAAATAACCGAAAAAGTGTGAAAACTGCAAATATTATTTTGAGAGACTTGCTTATGCCCTACAGCTCTGTCTCAAGGTTCAGTTTATGATTTAAATTTTTTTCCCCACAAATAGAACATTTGCCGTCTTGTCAAAACTGTTGGTTTTTGGAATTTTTTTTCTCTTTAGCTCCTTCTGTCAGAATAATCAAGTTTTACAACTGTAGGTCTGGAGAGGATGAAATTTTTTAGCCTACACTTTTGTGCCTTTTAGTGTCTCTTGCGCTCAAATTATTTTCTCAAACAATACATGTACAACTGGGAAGGGAAAAGTATCCTGTATTTGAAAAGAGATTTTTCTGCTTTGTGATGGTTTTCATAAATGAATAGCATTTTGTTGCACAGTAAAGCACCTCCAGAAGCATACTCAGTTGTAGTTTTACAATGTTATAAACATATTTATAAATCATGGAAGTTTTCTTTTGCAGTTGGGAAAAAGATGTGAAGCACTTAAGTAACCTTTTCAGACCAAATGAGAGTCAGTATTAGAATGAAATACAAACTCCTAACCTACATCCTGCTTGCCCCCCAGTTGGCAGCAGCAAAAGTGTCACAAATAATAGTATCTAAGATATATACGCACTTCTTCCCAACATACTTAACAAGACCAAACATGTTCCAAAGACAATGATCTAAATTATGTGCATTTCAAACTTGCCACAGATATTAACATTCTAACAAAATAGGAATACTATTGCAAGGCTGGAGAAGAGAAGGGTCTGGGGAGACCTTGTAACAGTTTTACAATACCTAAAGGGGGCTACAAGAAATCTGGAGAGGGATATTTTACAAGGGCTTGTAGGGACAGGACAAGGGGAATGGCTTTAACCTGCCAGAGGGGAGATTGAGATGAGCTCTTAGGCAGAAGCTCTTCCCTGTGAGGGTGCTGAGGTGCTGGCACAGGGTGCCCAGAGAAGCTGTGGCTGCCCCATCCCTGGCAGTGTTCAAGGCCAGGTTGGACACAGGGGCTTGGAGCAACCTGCTCTAGTGGAAGGTGTCCCTGGCCGTGGCAGGGGTTGGAGCTGGAGGAGCTTTAAGGTCTGTCCCAACACAAACCAGTCTGGGGTTCTAAGAAATCAGGAAAAAATATTTTTCTTACCAACAGAGCAGTCGGGACCCATCCAGTTGGGATCACAGCTACATAGACCTGTGTCAGACAGGTAGGAACCGTGCCCACTGCACTGGTCTGGACACTGGGCTCTGGGAAGCTCACAATTTATCCCACCCCAGCCTGGGCTGCAGAGACATTCTCCATTCACACAGACTCCGTGGCTGGTGCACGTTGGATCTAAGCAATCAACTACAGAAAAAAACAAAACCAAAGGTCAGTTCACACAATATGATGTTTGGAAAACATGTAGATGCATGCTCTGAAAAATTGATACGCCTGTGATAAATCAAGCAAATTGAGGTACTTCTTCAAGTCGTATTAACACCTGGTCTGAGAATGGGAAAGCACAAAGTAATTTGTGTTTTACATTGGCTCCAAATAGAACAGGGTGTGACTGAACAATGAGACAGCACTGCACGAATGCTGTAGGGAAGAAGCACAAAGACTTAAAAATAACACTAATGTATATAATAAGAGTTCCACACATCAGCCTTCACCTAGGGACATTTCTTCTGAAATACACTGACATTCCAATGACTCATGTTCTGTAGCTGAATAACAAAATAAAAAACCCTAAGTGAAGAAATTGCACTTCTTACAGGATTTTTTTGGAGTACCTTCATCAATACTGCTAGCACTACTACTGAAAGGCTGGAGCACTGTGAGAATAACATTATGATGTCCATTTTAAGTAGCTAGAAGTCAAAATATCACTGGCTTTCACTTTCATTCAGACTCCTAAATTATTCAGGCACTTCTGAACCTTTGATTTGTGGTCCATTAGTAGCTCAGCTGTGAAACTCAGAGTCCTAGTTACTTCAACCCATATTTTAACCAGCAGATAATTCCTCTTAAAGAAATAAAGAAAAACACATATAGATATGGACTGAATCTTTTCTCAGTCCAGAAACAACAGACTAAGAAAGGGAAAAAATCCTTGAATGAAATTTCAGTTGCTATTTCAATCCTGATAAATGAAGTAATGTTATGAGCTGTCTTTCAAATAAACTTTATCAGTAACATTATGGTTTTCCAAATTTTTATCTTACATAATAAATTTGTATAAGAATACTATGCTCTACCGCAAATACCAACAGAGAGGCTTTAACCAACTGCCTTTTGCTGCGGAATTGAGGGCCAAGGTCAAATTCATGTCCTGAATAAAATGAATTCATCTCATGACTGGTATATATTAGCTCACAACAGAAGGACCGGGAATGATTGGCATGCTCTCTTGCAGCTCTAGCAAGATCTGAGTTCATAATGAAAGTGATTTATCTCTCATCTTTTCCAAATTGATCCTTCTAAATTAAGGCAGAGACATTTTCACTCTACCTTATGTGAACAATACTTGATCTTTCAAATCTCAACTTTTCTATAAACATAGAGTCTTGTCAAGTTATTTTATGTCGTTGCAGAGCATTTAAAGTGAGTATATAGATTAGATACACAGAGAATTGAGGCAAGCACATTTACTGATGCAATAACATGAATTAACAGAATAGTTTTGACTTTAATGCAGATTACAGTAGCACAGGAATAAATTACTGTAAAATTTTTAATAAGATTCTCAGTTTAATGACCACACTGGCTATAGGTTTTTGTTTGATTGGTTTCTTTCTAAGACTTAATGCTTAGTTAATTGGAAATGAAAACATTATAATGCAATTTCACATTTATAGGTAAACCAAGATTGTTTTGTGGTTCAGCTCAGATAAGATCTGATAAATTCATAAACTGTTCTAGATTTTTTGGTTTATGATATTTTAATGGAAAATGTAAAAGGGTAATATGTGTGTAGCATTACAGCTAACTTTAAGAGATACTGATGAGTCCTAATGTACCCTCCATTCAGAAATGTATCATCTTCCCAAATGAAAGTACTAACAAAAGCTATGGGGAACATATGACAAACACCACCCTCTCCTATGTAAATTAACTGTTTTGCCCATATCTTGAATTAACTGTTCAAGCAGATAAGATTTATTTCCAAAGCCTATCAAGATCCCTAAACTCCCAATCTCCTTTGTTTTATAGAACAACATACTACCTTTGTCCTTTGTTCTTGACAAATACACTTTATAGCTGTTTTGTTCTATCATATGGGTAAATAATAGCTTTCAAAGTTTAAACTGAAGAGAATTTTTACTTTGAACTCAAATCTTATTCTATTTTAATACATGCTCTTAGAACTATTATCTTGGGCTAGATCCTCAGCTGTTAAAATTAGCATAACATTATTACCTGCAATAGAACTACACTGCCCTATGCTGCAGAAGGTCTGGCCCTGAGTCTTTAGAAGGGTTTACAGTGGTATTTAATAAGAATTTATAAATGGAGCTTCTCTGGTGTTTAAACAAAGGAGAACACGCCTTAGCAAGTAAGTACATTAGACTTAGAACTCACAGCCCCTCGGCAGCTCAGATCATTAGAGCTCATTTAGCATTGGGTTCTCTGTAGGTTTGACGAAAATGGTACTGAAAGCAATTTATACCCCTAAGGACAAAAAAGGAGGTCAAGGAGTTTTCTGAACAATATGTATCATAAAGCCCCCAAAGAGCTTTGAATTACACTTACAAAGTTAAATGTCATTGAAAAATGACTCGACCATGAAACTCAGAAGAGAACCACCCTTAACTTCACCTCATTTGGCAATTTTACTTGTCTCCCCCCAAAACAGATTGAATGAAACCTGACAAATATGCCGCTTCATCTTGTGTGCAAATTTGTTAATAGAACAACAGTGTTTATGCTGCAAGAATTGTGCATCACAAATATTGATTTTGGTGCCACTTTCATTTCAGGTAAATTGTTTGAACGATATGACCATGATGAATATCAGAAATGAAAAGCTAACAGGAACAAAAAACATGCTGACCCATTTGTTCTAATTCAATATCCTACTAGGAAAATGTCGAATAAATCAACTTCCGCAATTCCTTTCGGAAGTTCAAATCAATAGAGGAGATTTCATATATAGTATATATAAATACAGATACATTTATTTGTGTCATTCTACCATTGGAATGATAGAATTTTAATTAATGCAAAAACTTTACATAAGTTCAGATGATTCCCTGGAACTGGAGAGACACCACTTAATGTTACACCGTTTTTCCTGTAGCTCTTGAAGTAATGTGAGAAATATGTACAGAAGAAATGGAATTTTAGAGTAGACACATGATGGATATTTTGTGATTTATTTGTAAATGAATATATTGACTTACGTATTGCCCAATGCTGTATGCAAAAGGTTATTTTAACCTTTCTTTTCATGTTATTGGTCCCTTCTAAGTTTGCAGTCAATACCTCCTGCCTTTGTCATCCACTTTTTAGGAAAAAGCTTATACTTTCAAGTACAGTGTTGATTAAATAATATATACCTTTTCACCTCAGATAGCAATTCACCTCTCAAAAAAGTTGGTTGACTGACAATGTTTCGTAGTATTTCCAACTTGGAATGGTGTTAACATTAGCACCTTTGCAAAAAGACACGCACCAGCTTGTTCTAGAAACTGCTCTGGAGTTGGAGATGTGTTTGTTTCACCCGTTTCAAACATTCACCTTAGGATAAGCTGAATTAAGCACTGCAAGAGCCTATTTTTCTTAAATGAGTGCTGGGGGATTCAAGATGTCTAGCCCAGATATCCCACAGCCATTCTAAACAACTGAAAGCAGAGGGAACTAAAAGTTCCATGCAAGTAGCTGGAAATTACAATCAAGATGAGGGAGGAACTGCTTACAAGGTAAAATATACAGAATCAAGTGAAAGAAATCATTTTAGGCTATCTGCCATAGTCTCTCTAACAATACAAGCATTGACAGGACAACAAAAACATGATAAAATTTATATAATGTAATTAGACTAAGCAAACAATTGCATTTAGTACCAGAAAGAGCTTCTGTGTTCCTTGGTCTTTTCCAACTTAGATTTCAATGAGAATGCTAGCTATAGCATGGCATTTCAGATAATTTTTAGGTATTTCCTGTAATCACACACTCAGAGTGAACTAAGAACTATCAATTCTAGCAGGCAAAAAGCACATTACAGCATTTTCTGGATATAGCTTAAAATGTAACCTATTAAAAACAATGGGAAAAGTCTACTGACTTCAATTGAGTTCTGGATTAGACTTTAATAACTAGTGTTGTGAAGCTTTCCTGGAAGAAGATGACAGGAATGAACTGAAAAAACAGTTGCAGTGTTGGCAGTCCCACTAGTGAGGATCCTTGTTTTTTTTTTGTTGGGTTTTTTTGCTGTTAAAAGCAATTTTTGTTTACTTTAGAAAAATAAGTTCATTCAGACTAATGCAAGATCTTGTCCTGAAGCTGATGACTGCAATCCACGCCCAGAGAATAAAACCCTTACTGATTTAGGTCCCTCAGTTTTCTTCCCTTTGTTTTCTGATGGGAGAAACAGCTGTTTACTTTAAGATAGGATGAAAATTGATACACATGGTGCACAGCTCTGCATCCCACTCGGAATACTCCAGAGAGACTCTTTAGTCCTGAAACCATGCAGTCCTCAAGCTATCACTTCAAGTTATCAAGTCCTATCATTTTAGTCCTCAAGCTGCTCCTCCTTTTGGAGAATTAATAAGCTCTGGAATATCATCATAAAGCAGCTTGAACTGTTACTGCTCTGAGGATGTGCCAAGGTATGCTGAACTGTCTATTTAACAATTACCTGGGGAGTTAAATTCCCCTTTAAAACCATACTAATGTATTTTAAAAAGAAAAGCAATCCAATTTACATTGTGCATTCTAACATAAACCACTATGAATAAAACCAAAACTGAGTTTAATCTACAACCACATTTGCATAGGTTATTTTGTTAAATTTGCTTATTCTACATACACAAGAAATTGGGCACTTTCAACATGAAGAGCTTTTCTGCATTTAAAGGACACATCAGTTTTCTGCACCATCTACCTTTCTTTAATCCCATATGACTGCAGCTAACAGGAGTAATTTGCCCTACATTAAGTCTGTAAGTAACATGAATACTTAAGTCTTCGAAATTTGTTTCATCAGCTTCTGTCTTAATAGTGACTGATATGTTTGCTTTATGTGGAGCTGTACAATTTCGTCTGTTGCTGCTCTTTATTCCTCTGCATTTCATATCTAAATTGTTCAATAAATATAATCCATAGGAAAAGATTTATCTTCACTCTTCAGCAAAGGGATTATTCACATTTACTTGTGTCAGACATTCTTAATACTGCAAAATAATGTATACAGAAGTCCAGAAGTGTTGTCTGAGCTTTGATAGATCAGTAAAATTGTGATGGACTACAATTTTACCCTCTTATACAGTAATCTCCTACACTACTTTTACATTTAAATTTTTATTCTATTCTTTCCTTTGTTTATATCCATTAAACAACTCCAAAATGCAGAAAACAAACTCACAGCAAGGAAAGAAAATGTCCTACCTTCTTCACAGTTTTCTCCTTTATAGCCAACCGAACAGACACAGTTCCCATCGATGCAGGAACCATGACCTCCGCATGAGGGATCAATACACTGGCTGATGGGTACATCACATTCTGGACCTTTCCAGCCACTGTAGCATAAGCAGGTGCCTTTAGAGTATTGACCATTGCCACTGCACAGAACCGGGCAAGCAGCTGGAAAGAAAGGAAAGAAAAACAGCATACAGGGTCATCCATGTACTCATGTAAGAGTGCACTAAAAATCCACTACCAAATATTTATACATATATTCAAATATAATCATTTACTGGGAGAAAAAAAAATCTAGGCTAACTTCTGGTTGTTCAGTTCTTCATTTCCCAAAGAAATTATTGATTATTATTAAATAAAACATACATGTTGGGCATTCTGAGAATAAAACTACTATTCTTCATAGACTATTGATGATGTTCGGGATAACTAATGAGAGAATGTGAAAAGATTTGAGTCTGACATTACTCTGCTTTGTTCCACTAGATAACATCCAATTTTCACAGAAAGCAGAACACATTCAGCCCCCAAAATATTTGACAATGTACCATCTTTCTCCTTCCATAACACTTTCTTAATGTAATGTCCCCAAAATTTTTTAGATCCTTTGACTTGTTATTTTTCAGTGTAAGGGTCTTGAGCACAGGAATAACACAAGCTTTCATCTACAACAAATGCACCTTGCCACTAATATCCCTGCTGAATCTTGTTTTCCCAAATCCCAGAATGACTGCTTTTACCCCGTGTGTGTTGGCAAGAAAGCACCATTAACCCTTATCCCTCCCTCTTGTATTATTAAGGGGGCAAGGCACATTCTGAGCAAATATTCATTTATGCAAATGAAGTAAAGCCTGTGAATACTAAAGGTAGTCACAGGTCTTGGTGCCAGGAATCAGATGTTGTACATATGCAGAGCAACGGAAAGAAACAAGTGGTTTATTAAAAGTCAGTTGCACGTGAATGTTACACGAAGGCATATTCACACCCCCGAATGCCCACATCTCCCACGTGAACAAGGCAACCTGTGAATTTATATGCCTGCCAAAAAGACTGGATGTGTGGTTACAAGCCAGAGAAATGAAAAAAATAACAGAGGAATAACAGAAAATGGGAGCAATGAAGTGAATCTTTGAGAAAACGTACCCTTTCGTGCTCTTCTCTCTAATGCAGTTTGATATAGTATTTCCTTGTCTTTTGACCCTTCACAGTAATCAGAAACTAACACCAAGTTTTACAATGCCAAAATTATACTCAAAAGCTACTATTAATCATTAAAAGGTCCTAATGTCTTCTTGCTTCTAGTATCCCTTTAACCTGAATGATCAAGAAGAACCTAAGTAATGGGTTTCCTACAAGGAAATGTGTGATTGTCCAGTTATACAACTCCACTTTTCAGTCCTGCAACCCTCATTAATCTTGCTGTCCCATTGATCTGCTGCAAAAACACATTTCAGAATAGAGATTTCCAAGATTTTTCTTATTGGAAATGAGAAAAAAATGATCATAAAAAAATAAGTTCAGACTTGTAACCTGAGTTAAACTTTAGAGTGCTGAGAATTATTTCAGTTAAGACTACAGGTTGATGAGATAGATGTCACATGCATAACCTTTTTTAGCCTATTTTTTCTACAGTAGAATAATAATAAAATCAGTGTGCTAATGTTTGGGGGCTTTTTTGCTACCCTCATCTCTCTTACGGCCACATTATCTATTCTTTGGTAGCAATAGGACTTCATTCTTCTCCATTCCTGTTGTCCTCTTTCACTATGAGTCTTGCTCAGCCTATTTCCTCCTCACACAAAAACGAATACAAACCTGAATAAAATATAATTTCAAACAGCAATGTTCTGACTTCAGTTGTGAAATATGTTCACAAGTGCTTTACTGAGGTCAGTGAAAAATTTATGCTAAAGTTCTACCGGTTTTGGTTTTTGCAGCTGGTTCACGTCATCATCAAACACCCTTTCATGACATACAACATGATGAACTAGTAGCAACTTGAATGCCATCTGACTAACTATTCCTTCTGTCTACATGCATTACGTCATGGAATCTATCATGCACTGCATTTCACTGCCTAGATATGTTGACTGCTGCTACTGTCAGTCAGAGTTGAGCCATAGAGATAGGAATCAAACCTTCAAGTATGAAGACTTGGCGGTACAAACAATTCCTTTGTCCATACTCTCCATTTCACTGCAAATAAAAGTCTTGTTTGGGCTGAAATTTATACATTTTGACAAATCACTGGAAGAAAGGTAATCACTTCAGTCTCACTCTCTTTCCTTGCCATAGTGTAGAGGACCTGGAGGTGAGTGATCAGAAGGCAGCTTCTCTTGGATACCTGCAGCGGTCACGAGTGGCAAGGTTCTTGGTGCCACCTTCCACACCCTGACACACTGTAGAGACACTGTCCCTTTATCTGGGTTTCATCTCAATACAAAACAATCTCTCTCTAGAACAAGGCACCTCTCAGCTCCTGTATGTGGTGGTCAAGCTTGCAGTCCCTTTGTTCAAGTGCCCCATGGAAGTAATATTGTTAGATGCAAATTCTCTACATGCTTCCAAGCCATTGCAGAGACTCAATGATATCCTTTTTAATGGTTACTCAGTGTGGATTCTCCAGCCGTACAGGGACATGCCAGTATATGGCTTGCCTTTGCCCATCAACCTCCTCACCATGCTGTCATAAAGCTGCACAGAAAGAGAAGGTCCCAGGAAAGCTAAATGAATCAGTAGACTGTAGACTCTTTCTTCAAACCACATTCGTTCAAGTAGTTATAAAGACAAAAAGTTAGAGTTCACTCACAAGCTGGATACAAATGAGAAATAGCTTTTTTTGCTTTGTTGCTTTACAGGTCAACATGGCATTCAACTCCTGAAAGAACCTCTGTTCTGCAAACCTCTCCTCTGGAGTCAAAAGTCAGATAAATGCAATAACTCTATTTGAACATCATAGTCCCCTGAAAGAGGGACTGAGCAGAAATAAATATTTATTATTAAACTAAACATAAAAACAAAAGCAAAAAAGCCCAAGCAATTTAGACACGACCAGTCTAGACCTAGCTAGATAATACAGTGCCAACTACTTGCTGTAAGATAGCTGCTCTCCTCACCTTACCCCTAAGTCTCATTAAGCAGTGAGCAATTGTGGTGCAGCTAACCGAGATGTATACCTGCTGTCTGGAACTTGTCTATGGGAAAGCCATTCTTAGCTCCCACTTTTGATCAGAATTTGCTGGGTTCAATTTCTGGAACACCAGAGACTGGCACAGCAGAAGGATTTACTAGATGGTGCTGGGTCTCAGCCTACACAGCTCCCACAGTAGGTTTTTTTCATGTTCCTTTACTCTGCTATAGTGCTTTAGGAATTTAAGTACAGCTGAAAGCCATGTTCATTCCTCTCTTCATGCTTCTCCCAGGTCAGAGGTCTTGCTATGGTTCATAAATCTGTTCAGTCCTTGTGAAGCTCGTAAGTTGAACAGTAATCCGCTGCCTTCAGTGGTCTGCCACTGCAGCATGCATTGCCAAGATATGACACCAGAACTGACTTTGGACAAATGAAAGAACCTGTCATTTAACCTTTGGGATGAAATGAACGCAGTAAATGTTAACACACTTGCAACCTAAAGCCACAAAGTTTAATCTACAATCCTCTGCTGGGGTTATTCCACAAACTACATAACAGGAATATCACTTTTAGAGTAAGAAAAATGACAGAGGTTCTTGGTCAGATTTTGGCATTTCCAAGGCTGTCACTAGGATTGCAGAAGAAACATGTAAGCAAGAATGCAAGCAAGTGTAGGTTAAAAGAAGCTGGCAAGCTACTGCTGTAATAAATTGTTCTTCATTAATCTTTCTGCTGTGGGTTTATAGGCTGTCTTAAGTGAGTAACAGAGAGAGAATTAAGCTGCTCTTCCATAGACAACAGAAGCAGCTCATCTAAAAGAGGTCTGCTACACATTTATCAGACCCTATTGCTGCAGGGTGAGACCCAAAGCAGCCCACTCTAATTTTACATCCAGGTGGTTTCAGTTAACGTGCAAACAACTCAACAGTCATCTGGGGCTCCTGGCTGCTTGTCTTCCCTATGTGAAACAGATGGCCCCTATTCCAGGACAGAACTGACTGTTAAAAGTTTGTTGAAGGAATGAAGGAAGATTGGTTGAAGTAATGGAACAATCAAGTTCCATTTCGTTTCTGTGAACAGAGAGGTTGCACAAAGACAATTGTGTATCACACACCAACACTGCCAAAAAGTGGATAGAGGTCTTCAGTAGTTATGGCATCACTAAAGCAAGTTAAGAACAAGAGCATATCTCCTGAGTGAAGTCTGAGTAAGCAGAATCCCTAAATGTGGTTTTGGTGACGTGATTCTGCCCTTATTGACATTCAAACAAAACCAGGCTATGGTCTTAACACAGGTCTCAGCTGATCAATGAATACTACAGACTTTTTGAGTCTTGCAGGCTGCACACACTTAAGAGCATGAATTAAGTGGGAAAGATCAGCCAAACATCCCTCTAAAAGTAGTCTATCTTTGGATAGTTATTTTGGAGTAATGTTAATATTCCCTGATGCATGAGGAAAGGTGATTTGATAACAGCCTCTTACACATGGACTAGGAGGAAGATGGTAAGGGATAATGCCCAAATGGTCTGGCATCAAAAGCCACCATTTTGCCCAGTGATGCTCAACACATAGGTATCCCAGCTGCAGTCGGTGTACACACTCCTTTCACCCACCCTTACAGTATTCACATGTACATACTCACCAGAGGTGTTCTTCCAGAGCATGGCAAGAAACCAGTAAAGGATATCTGATGAGTCAAACTCTTGGAGGCGGTTGCAGAACTTGGTTTAGTTACATAGCTGCTTGGTTGAGAGGCCTTCCCCTGCTACTTGGAGTTCCAAACAGGATTTGAAGGCAGAGTTCTGGCTTGGTTCCTCTTGCTGTAGAGCAAACATTACCCTGGTGCAGAAAGAGTCCTGTACTACTAGGATCCAGGCTGTCGGTTCTCTACTGCAGACTTTTTCCAGTTCCTCCTCATAAAATAGACAAATTGGTATACTTCCCTTGAAAGTTATTAGAGTTTCTGGGCACAAAAATATGCAGACTTGAAAGGTTTTCGAACTTGCACCTGCAATGCCTCCCTGTCCTGGACC